ATAATAAGTGGAAGAATTATTATCGTTATCAAAGTTATAAATATTGTAATCAATGTCGTTGTTATCAACTGGTTCGACTTCCTCTTTTTGTTTACGCTTTTGTTTAGAGGGGTTAAATTTGAGTGTTGATTGTTTTCGAGTTCTTAATCGTTGTGGTTCTCTGGCGAAAGAATTGTCCGAATAATTAGATGTAGTAGTTGATTTAGGTTGACCAAAGTATTCTCCTTGCCTTATCCTTTGTTGCAAGTGGGATGTCTTTTCAGACCAAGTACTAGAACTAGATCCTTCAGCTATTACTGGGTTAGGTTGACTAGAAGGATAGTGTGATTTGGGAGGAGCTAATAAATTTGTTTCAACTGATGATACTTCTGATTTTTCTTTTGAAGTACTTGATTCAGTTTCTATAGCAGTATCTTGAATATCTATTTCTTCTAGCAAGTCTACAACAGTAGAAAAAGGTTTAGATTTTGTTCCTGGTCGGGTGTGCTTTGGAATTGTAGGGGATTTAGTTGTTGATTTAGCTTTTGCAGTAGCTGGGGATGAAATTTTATCAGGCTCGTCAGCCTTTGGGGACTGCGTTGTAGAGTCTTGTGGTGACGTCACGACGGAAAGTGGTTGTGGTGTAAAGATAGTTTGCGAGAAATCTTCTGGTGTACTAGAAGCTAATTGCTCCAATCGTTTTGTAACGTAAGTAATAAGGGATTCAGTGGGTGATATCTTTTTACTCAAAACTGCGAATTATTTATTTATTTAGGGTGCTTATAGAATATTAATTTAAGAGGGAAAAATTTTCTTTTAACTGGTTTAGGTCACTTAAAATTTGATAGCAGTTGTCTCGAATTCGAAAAAGTAAATTGTATTGGTCCTTAATTTTGCGTAATTCTAAAAGGTCTTCTAATTTCCACAAGGGTTCCTCTGATTCAGATGTTTGATCGACTATGTATTTTATCTTTTGTCGATAAAGTTCTGCAATTTCTTCGATGATTTTATTAAGTTCTTGAATTTGTTCGGTATTAATCATAAAAACAATTTACTAATACTAAAAGGGTAAAAAGATGATTATCTAAAATTATGACTAACTAATTAAGGTCTTTGCATCGAAGGGTAACTAACTAAAATAAGATAAATTATAAAATACTATATTGGGATTATTAGAATAAGGGATAGAATACTATAAAAATTTCGATTTGTTTCCGCTAGAAGGCACCAAATTGTTACTAGTCGACCTTTTGGGCTAATTTTATTTTCCAAAAGGCAATTTACAACTAGCAACTCGTAAACAGTTACTTTAGTTTACGAATTGAAGAGGATAATTGATGAAGAATAAAAGAAATATTAAAGTTAAATACTAAAAACTAACTAAAAGACTTAAGAATTTAGGGTCACGGGATTCTAAACTATTGACTAATGATTTAATTTTAAAGGTCGAGTTAAGAAATTAAGACAAAGAATTAAATATATTTATCAATGGTTTATAAAATAGTAACAGAAATTTATGGATCAAAATTTATATTCGAAGAATATAAATTAATAAAGGAACAGAGTTTTAATATAAAAGATATAAGTTTATTACGAAGAAAATCAATAATCCAATTACTTTAGGATTATAAAAATATTACAGTTGAGATTACTTTCTAAATTTCACTATTTAGAATTATTCGAATCTTATTCGAAAACTATCTGAATCTGTTGGGGTGGAGAGAAAATTCACCCTTTTTATAATATTGAATTTGGCCAGTAAGTTGGTCAGTAAGTTGGCCAAAATCTTGGTCAGTAATTGTGCCAATCAGTTGGCCATTGAGTTGGTCAATCAGTTGGCCACTAAATTGGTCAGTAAATTGGCCAGTAACTGGGCCACTATGATCTACATTATTGATTTACATAATTCGTATTACGCTACTAAATAAATAAATACTAATAAATAAATATACTAAATATAATAAAATATACTAAATAACTATACTAATAAAATAAATACAAATAAGAATAAGATAAAATAAAATAATAAGAAATTATGAAAGTGGAGGAAACCCATGGTAACAACGTGTTGCCCAAATCCCAAATCATTTGAGATTTGGGATGCCAAAATCTCAAATTACTAGTATTTGGGATTTAGGATTTGGGATTTTGGCAAAAAATACTAATCATAATTTGGGATTTGAGATTTGGGATTTTGGCATTTGGAATTTTGGCATTTGGATTTTGAATTTGGGTAGCAGGTATATATATTACAAAAAATGACATCAACTAAAGTAGGCTCGAAGAGTCATGATTCGGAGAATTGTCTACAGGTCTGCTCTGCAATAAAAAAATCATATTATCCCAATACTAAAAGGATATATGAAAAGCTTGATAAATTTGAAGAAAAATTCTGTTTATTGGAAGAAGAAATAGATGATCTTACTGATAAAGCATTAGAGATTAAGTGAGAAATAGGGGATATAACAAAGGCCTTATCACTAATCAATATCAATATCGAATAGACCATATGTTTCGAAATTTTTTTTATACAGGATATAAAATCTCAAAATTATCACCATACATTCCTTTTGCAACTAGATTTTCTTTATATTCTTTGATTTGTTTATTAATTTCGATATTACTAGAGATCGACATGTTAAGTAATAATTGAGTAAATATATAAAGTGAATAAAAATTCAATCCGTAATTATTTATCAAGATATAGATATATTTTTGTATAATAATCAAAATGACAGCACGAGATATGCTAACGGAATGCGGTCTAAATTTTATTAATTGGGCAGAAACATCAGAAAACTGGTTAAAGCTATCAAAATTTTATCCAAAAAAATATTTGAGACACTATTTGTTAATACCTGGTTATGATATTAAAAACAAAGACCAATGGGAAAACTTCATATTCTGTGTTAAAAATAATTTATACATGAGAAAACAAATAGCATATAATTCAGAATTTAGAGAATTTAAAAAACAATTAGCAGAAACTGCAATAATAATGTAGAAAAAACAACTCGGCCTACCCATCTACTATATTTATTTTTTCCAGTTAGCTCCATACCTCATAGAGGTGCCCTTTGGGCCTGATTATCTATTAAATAAAAAGTCTAAGTTAAAAAATCCTCACGTTTAGTGTAAACAATATAATGACAGAATATAGCCAAAATTTTATAGAACAGATTTATACTAATAATGTGATAAGAAAATATATATCTCCAAAAAATCCGTATAGGCGATGTATTAAATGCCGACGTGTGCATAGATTTTCAGTTGATACTCAATTAAGATATCATCAATATTGTTATCCGTGTTCCAGAAAACAAGCAGTATTAACTATTCAGTGGATATTTCGTTCATGGTATCGAAAACGAATAAATTCCACCAAAATTATCTGACACGCAGTAATTAAATAGCTTTATCGACCCGATGGATCATTTATGAAGCAAGCCAAAGATCGATATTATCAAAATGCGAATAAGTTAAGTTAAAAATACTAATTTCGTTTCAACTATATTAATATCGGATTTTTTTTTAGCTGGATATATTTTTTGTATAATATATATTAGCAGAGTTATTTCACAGTACCAATCAAAATGATAGAAAATTTTAATGATCATGCAGAATGAAAAGTGAAAAATGAGTTTAAATATCTCAAAGCTTGTATTATAGATCTGGAATACGGAATGCGTATGTTCCATAAAAAGCTAGAGAATATTGTTGATCAATATAATTATATGTATTCAGATAATTATGATTATAATAGCAATACCTCAAATTCTGAAACTGAATTATCTGATGATATTTTACCCGATGTTATTACAGTAAAAAAGATACATGAGTCTAAAGATCTCAGCTCTATCCATTCTAAACCTAAAAAGAAGTGAAATAAGAACAAGGTATATAATTGTACAAAGGTACGTAAAGAATTTTTATAGCTTTGACACATAAAATAATCGTATAATAAATCGCGATCACGATAATCCAATTTTTTATAACCCTTTAGGGTTGTCCCTTCGGTCTTGCATATATTTGAGATAACGTGGATGCACTTAGCAGGTTAGATCCACATGATTTTTGTATGACCCAATTTCTCACATATATCCTCATTCGTCGTTTTTTATTAATTTTCATGTTTTTCACCGATCATGAAATTCGCCTTTCCTATATATTGTTTCCGCTATAATGAACTTTCGGACGTAATGCTATTTTGAGTTGGGGTATTTTTTCGAGTAACTATAAATGAGAATATAGCTGAGAAAAGATAGGTGTTTTCAGAAACTTATGTGAGTTATGTTTACCAATATCTCATGTCTCAAAACTTTCGTCTTAAATATTATTAAAAATTCGTCTCCTGAAAAAATTATAGATGAAGGTGATACCCCCGAACTGGATGCATGCTCGTTATGTAATCATGAGCTTTTTTTGTTCAAAATAAAAAACCCGATTACCATACTTGTCTGTGGACATATATACCACCGTGACTGCATCGAAAATTATATCAAGAAACGTTCAATATGCTCAAAGCCCGATTGCAAGAAAGAAGTGGAGTCTACGATTAATAGCATGCCCAGAAGTCAAAATACCAACGATTTGATGGATATATCTCCGTCATTATTTACTGACCTCCTCTTCCAAAGTCCGTCTAAAAAGCGTGTTAGTGAATCTATCAGCAAATCATTCAGCAAGAAAGTGAAGAAGCAAATATCAAAGGAAGATTCTCCTACGTTACAAAGACTAATCAAAGAATTGGGAACTGACGTTACAGAGAAAACTATGCTGACTAAACCAATATCTGAATCGAATGAGGACTTAATCAATTTTCTAGCTTTGTACCAAAATATAATCAATGCTGAAGAAATTAGTAAAAAAATGACGCAAGAAGTCATTCGTCACTATTTCTATTTTGGAAAAGCACTCGAGGAGCGATTCGATCAATATAGAAAAAACAATCCTAAACGTACGGCTCAAGGGTTAGTTAATAATGATGTTAGAGCTCAGATTCCCAAATCAGTTAGTGAAAGCTTACTTCGAAAAACGAAAGAAAGGGCCCAGAAGATTTATGATATCTTTAATGAGATCGGGGTTGAAAAAATCAAACGAATTCAGTCTTTTACTGCTACAACAATAGCAAATATATCCCAAGATGACATTGATTTTGTATTAGCCAAACTTTCGGTAATTTATGCCGATTTTAAAAAATAGAGCCAAAACCTCACTACTCTGTAATAATAATCCATTGTAAGCTCACGTGACGTTGTGACAAGCTGTCACAATCTATGAAATAAATTTTAATCGTGTTAGTATAAATGCGCCTAATTTTTTATTTCGTGTTTCGTTAATAATTGAGTGTGAATCTGATCGTGGTTGTAATTTATGCAACCCATGTAATCGCAGGAAAATGGTTTATCGTTATATATGCATTGTCGAAGTCAAGTTAACTTATGCTTTTATACTAACTATTTGAATCGAATTCTGATATTTATTTGTATAGCAATAAAGATGATAAGCCTTTTCACCGCAAAATTCGCCACTACCCCATATACCCTCTATACGATTTCTTATATTTTCTTTTTTATGGTTTTTATTACATAAAGGGCAGGATATAGAACTGTTAAAATCGAAGTAATCATTGTTAAAACTATGTTTCAGAGTCAAATAAGGAAATCGTTCTAATACCATTTCAATAACGTGTTGTTGCCTTTCTTCTGGGTCTTTAGGTAGAACAAAAGTTAAAAATTGCTGTCTGGATGGTGTAGAGAGAACATTTACCCGTGGTACAAATAAAGTCTTTTCCTCAATAGGATCGAAATTCTGATAGAAAATTTGTATGAATTGATTATAAGTTTTTTGCCATTCTTCCATAAGATCATCGAGCCATACAGTACTTAAACCACTTTCTAATATACTACGACGTAATAATTCTTCACCGACTAGCCTATTCCGATCTGTTAAAAATTCACAGTATTTTCTAGGATCTTTCTTCCTTTCTATTCCACCACGATAGAACTGTATATCCCTTTCCAAGTCCTCACAAAAACATTCTCCATCTCACCTTTTTTTCTCAACCTCAGTAATGATCAAAATTTTTTCAGGATCTACCTCTCGAGTTTTGTTTGGTACCCTTACTTGAGTTTCCGGTAAGCTCTGTACAGCAATTATAACTTTCTTTTGATCTATGCGAAAAGGGCAATTAAGAAAATAGTGCTTATCTTTACCGAGACAGCTCCAATCACCCCATATACCTAAACGAGTATGTACTTCTTTGCATACCGGACATTTAGCTTCTGAATCAGTATATTTAAAAACATCCTGGCGCCATGCATTTGAATTAGTATATGATAAGAAAGGAAAACGTTTATGTACTGCTTCATGGATTGTACTTTTCTCTTCCGGAAACTTGAAAATTTTGATGATATAGTCTCGTGAAAGATGATTATCAGTCTTTTCGATTTGAGAGGATTCGAAAGTTTCAGAGTTTAACCAGGGATCGAGCCCAGTTTTTTTCTTATATCTTTTACAAAACCTAGAACGAATTTTATCTATCAAAATGTTTGGCAATTCTGTTAATTTAGCTTCCCACTTCAAATATTCGGGAGTTAATGTATTCATGTTGCCGTTTTATATGACCTCGCATCTCTTTAAATTGGTAATAACCAACAAAAAATAGGGCATAGCCCATTACTTCGTAATAATATACAGCAAGCTCATATCTAGATTAATATAGTTAGCTTCGAATGATACAATCGCGAGAGGCAAGTTTATGCCATTATTTCAATTTTAATTCCACGTTGTTTACACTTAATAAAATAGGATCCATTTTTACATCTGCCTTTTATACCATAATCCTCATAATGATCTAACTTGCATAGCGGGCATAAAGATTCATCAGTAATACCATAATAATCGTCATTTCTATCACTACACTCTTTATATAAATTAGGGTATTGTTTTAATGTTTTATTACAGAAATCGGCACGTTTATGTGTAGTATTTACCTTAGATGAATCTTTCAAATTCGTTTCATCAGCATTGGAGTCATTGTCATCAGAAGATACTTCCCCATCACTATCAGAGAATTCCTTGGAATCTGAAAAGCTATCAATTATAGTTACGGTTTCTGAAAATTCGTTATTTTCATTTACTATATCTTCCGAATTAAAAATATGTGATGACTGAATAGAGGAAATAGATATATCGTATACGTGTTGCCCAAATCCCAAATCATTTGGGATTTGGGACGCCAAAATCCCAAATTACTAGTATTTGGGATGTGGGATTTGGGATTTCAGCAAAAAATACTAATCATAATTTGGGATTTGGGATTTGGGATTTCGGCATTTGGATTTTGAATTTGGGTGGCAGGTATAGGATGATCTTATTTTTATGACAAGTTTTCTTAACTAAAATTTAACAAAACATAAATAAAATAATGTTGAACATAAAT